TATATATATATATATATTGGTCTGTCGAACGATAATGTCCCAGTTGATGCGGCGTTTGGTGTTGGAAACTGGGTCTTTCAGCTAAGATTGCAGACAGTTTGTCGTGCATCGTCCCATTTAATTGATCGAATTCGGCTGTTTCATACCGCCATAACGTGACTCACGGAATTTCATTTCAAGTGTTGTGAATCACAGTCATCGCGATTGATCATACGCGTATTGCCTGCGATGTTAATTCACAATCTTACTCCTTGAACTTGCAGAATTTGGGACAGAAAAAAATCGTTGAACAGCAGGTAAGTCTTTGGTTTATATAGACACGCAGTTAATATTTTTTGAAACTTTTCAGTTGCCTAATCCTTGACTGTTAATGGTTACATCTTCATGCCAGTGAGATTTCGGGTACCGTCAACTTCGTTAGAGTCCTATATTTGTTCCTCGGTGCGTTAAGTGTTATGTTGCTACCCGCCCCATCGGTCACCTGCCCTTAGGTTTGCTTGTTTAGACGACCATAGGTTTGCTGTGCGTTGACAGCTACTGTCGCTTTTGTTCGCAATCGATGGCTTGGTCCGTTTATTCGTTGTATACGTTGACGCATCACCCAAAAACGTGCTGGCATTCACGAGATCCACTGCTTGTTACCACCTCCCCGCACTTTGATATGAGTTTAGTATGCTCTTGTTAATTACATGAAAAGAGAAAAGGCGTGGCCGTCAGTCCAGTGCAAACAACCTAGCTGACTATACCTTTAAACGCTGGACAACCTGATTAGAAAGTGACACTAAGGAGAACAGCAGCAATGGCTACCAGTCGTATCCTCTCTATAGTGACAACCACATGAAGTCTATTATTGAACGCGGATCTTCCGGACAGCACCCGGACACTCATTTGTGGTACACTGTCAATGACAAAAGCGTTTCACGGACCAAACCAAGTAAAGTTGCTCCGACACCCATGTTCCCATTTACTGTAGCTTGAGTGTGGCTTGGTGTGGTCCCAATGCTTTTTGCACGCAGTGTTACAACTGATGACGCACTTTTTAACGGAGGCCTATGCTTCTACTTTCTGCTGATAGGAAAGTATTACTATTATCATTGAGTGATATCGCTATTGTGAGTAGCAAAACAGCGCTTGTTTTCATTTGTGGTCACCTATCTGTGTTCACCCTGTGGACTCGGGACGCGATGTGAGCCGTTTGTTTCATTGCGTTTCAGCCTCCATCCCCAACTGATCTGCTGACAATCTGTTACACCAGTGGAAGTACAGGTTAGATAGTGTTTTTTGTTGGGTTCCGCAGATTGTTTTATTGTGTGTGGTGAGTCCTCATCACTACTTTCGTTGTTACTGGTACTGTGCCTTTCGCAAGTGATTATTGAACGGAATGCTGTGGGCTCATTTCCCCTCCTTTCCTATCGTCCGTGTGTACTTGGGTTTGCAGTACAGGATTCGGTTAGTCCGGTACCCGGTGCTGCAGTTTTTTTAAAAATCGGGATTAAGCTGAATTTTTAGGTTTAGTCTGTTTCTTAGCAGTGAGTGTTAGTGCTCGTTCAATGTGAATATCGACTTCCCGTAGGAATGTCCGTAGATGGTTGTTAATGGACTTGAAATCACAGTGAGTAATGTACGTGTATTGTTCCGAATCAAACCAAGTAACAAGTTTTCAAAAGAACCTGAACACCTAACTCAAAGCACAGTGAAAACAGGTTCTGTGTGGATCCGGCTTGTTGGGCGCAGCGTAGGCTGTCAACCTTTACTTCTGTTTCTCTGGTAATGGTGTTTTTCTCAACTCAGTTCCCGCCCGAGTCTCTCAAGCTAACGTTCAAACCGAAGGTGCACAAGGTAGTTTAACGAAGTCAAGCACACCTGTACAGCTCTTCGTGTGTATTGTGTAAGTGATGACAGCTTTCTGGGAATTCTGACACCTGGATGCGCCATTGACAACCTGCATTCGACCAATACTGGGTCATGATTGGCTGTTGGATCCATCAGATCTCGGCTTGATGCCGGATCGGCAAGCGTCCCGAATTTTTGGCCACTCTTGCGTAGGCTAGGCTTCTCGACCGTAGCAGCACCTGAATGTAAGCGGTAAAGTGGGATCCTCGTGGAATCCCGCCCAACACCGCCACCTTGAAGTTTGTTGTCGTAGCCTCGAAGTCGAGGGTTCACCCGCAGTAGCCTCACTGACTGTTCAGTGTCGCGGTCGTAATCCGTGCTTAGGCTGGGTCACCGACGAAGCAGCTGATGGATTTTCTGGAATGATGCTAAGATCAAATATGTCCAGAAGCATCTCCAGACTCTGCTCCTTCGATCCTGTAGGCAGGATCTGCGCATCTGTCGGACAGATTTGGTTTGTGTGCCGTATCAATCTGGCTGGGCCAACTTGAATCTCGTAGAGCACCTTGCGGCGCCGGCGAAGAATAAGTCCTGGAATCCACTTAGGGTGTGTTCCTCTGTAGTTAACGACCAACACTCTGTCCTTCGCTGAAGGCGCGCGCATTTGCTCCATGACGCCGGTTGAATTGTCCATGCATTCGGGTGTTGTGGTGAACAGCCTGCCTCTTCTGTGACCGGATAGCATCAGGCGGTGTTCGAACCTTCCTTCGGAGCAGTACCTCTGCTGGTGACACTCCATCAGGTGAGTTGGGGTTTGGAGTCGCCCGATATGACAGCATGAACTTTTGCAAATTCCCTCCGCTGCTCCCTGCCCTATGAACTTTCGAAGTGCCCGGTTCAGAGTGTCAACGATGTGTTCCTCCTGGTCGTTCGACTGTGGATGAAACGGCGGCGAGCGGACAGTCATTATGCCATATTCCCGACAAAGGTCTGTGAACGCCCACGACGTACACTGACTGCCGTTGTCGGAAACAACAGTTCTCTGGTGTTCCAAAGCGACTGAACAGTCGTCGGAGTTTCGGCACTGTAGCAGCAGTTGTGGGGCTGTACACCAGAGGAATTGCCGGCCATTTTCTATAAGCGTCGACCACAACTACCTACTGGACCTGCATAATCGGTCGGCTGCGGTCGTGACCGTAGGTAAGTTTTCACGGGTGACTAAAATTCTTCAGCGCATCGCAGGCAAGATTTTGGGACAGGTAGTCCATGAAAGGTCAGTAGACGTTACTCCCAGCAAGGGCCTTCGTCCTGTTTGTTCCCGGGTGCATTTTATGGAGCCGATTCAGAACGGCTGATTGTAAATTCTTCGGGATGACAACGTGTTTTGAAAACAAAAGGCATCCTTCGGCTAGTGCGTAACGCCGGTTAAAGTAAGGTCTCAGTTCGTCTTTCGGGGAGGTACGCGACCACTGATTGCGGTACTACTTAATGACTTGCTGCAGCACAGGGTCTTGGTCGGTAGCCTGGCGGACCGAATCGACAATCACTGGGAGGATGAGAACCGCTTCGGATACTACGTGGTTAACCTCCGATTCAACGGCAATTGTTGCGACTACTGTATCTTCTGTTTCTGGCCTACTTGAATCAATAAGTCGCGACAATCCGAGACTGGTGATAGACTGGTACTTGTTCTTGAAGTCATATCCCGGAAGCAGAGTGGCCCATCGCTGGATGCGTTTGGCAGTATATGTCGGGTGAGTAGCGAATCGGATGTTTGATAGCGTCGATGTTCTCCGGGTCTGGTCGGCGGTTATATTAGTCACTGACGAAACCAAGTTACTTTATCGACCGCATAAAGAGGATGTATTTCTCTCTGCGCACTTTAAGGCCATATTCTTTAAGGCGACCAAGCACGTAATCAAGGCGCTGCCACAATTCGTGGGGGTTGTAACCCATGACAATGAGATTGTCCAACTAGGCAGCAACGCAGGGAGCATCTTTCAACATCCTATCCATGATCTGTTGAAATTTGGCTAGCGCTGTTTTGACACCGAATGGCAGTAGTGTACACTGGAACAGACCGCGATGAGTATTGATCGTCAGAAGTTCTCGGGGTTCTTCCTAAACGTCAGCCTGGAAGTAAGTGTCACTTAAGTCAATCTTTGCGAAACACCCCCATTCAAATCGTCTTGAAGAGGCAGAGGGTATTGATTGGTATGCAGTGTAGCATTTCTTAGACCGGTAGAGAAATCTGCACACGGCCGAATAGTCCCGTTAGCCTTCACCAACACGATCGGTGCGTCCTGTGCAGAGTAGTTGGTTGGAGTACACCAGCATTCTGCACTTGCTCCAGTTCCTGGTCAACGATAGGTAAGGCTGCATATGGTACTAGGCGTTTTGGCCTCTACACTGGTTTGGCACCGGGAAAGAGGCACAGTCTGGCTCTCACTTTTGTGCACTGTCCGAGCCCGTCGGTGAATATCGATGCGTTGTGTTGCAGGAGGTCCTCATGTGAACGCTTCACAATCTTAGTTGGCTCGGGGGTACCTCCGGGTGCTTCTCCAGCAGATTCAGCTTTTCGATCGAACTCAGCCCCATAGATCAAGTTTGGGGCGTAATGTAAGGTAGCACCATGCTTGTGCCGTCGAGCCATTGGAGCTTACGAAGTAGTCAACCTAATCACTCAATCTCAGTTTACCACCAGAATCACTACGGGCCCATTGTTCAGTCGGTTTCACATGTGGCTCACCAATTTGTTCCCACGTTCGTTCACTGAGCATCGTGATATCGGAGCCCGTATCAGGCTGCAAACGAGCTGTGATGTTGTTGATGTGAACCGTTACGAACTTCCTTCGGCAAAGCAAATCAACTTTGAATGTCGCCGTCACCGAGTTGGACCGCGATTTGTGGGCTGTAGGGTTGTGTACGGGTGGCTGCGACCTCTGAGGTCGACACAAATCTTCTTTGTCGCCACGACGACTTCACCTGGTACATTTATGACGCCTAAACCGGCAATAACGAGCAAAATGCCACTCACCGCAATGCCAAAAACTTGTGGGAGGCTTGCTCTGTTTTTGATCGGGTTTGTTGTCAGATTTCTTTGGCGCGCTGGAGTTGATTGCATGTGCACAGCTGCTTGGAGTCACAGGTGACTGGCCGATCACAGCCGTGTCGTGCTTCAGGTTGATAAAGCGTTGACATTCGGTGATGAGGCTCTGCAACGTCATTTTGGCATCCTGTTCAATTCCGTTAAGCAGCCGGGTTCTGATGTCAGCATCTTGGGACGACTGGAAACCGGAGGCACTTAAACTGATTCTCCGTCATTGAGCTGAGCTTGAAGCGCTCGCATTCTCGATTGACAACACCGGCAAACGTGATAAAATCATCATCTTTCTTGACCAACTTTAGGCATTGGTGACGGATATTGAACAGTGATGTTTGATCGCCGAATATCTGGGACAGTGTTCTAACCCTTTCATCAAAGCTGAGGCCGCGGGGCAGCTTGGGGAGAATGAAATTTGTGAACCGTTCATGTTCCGGTGTGCCGAGTTTTTGCAGCAATAGTCTGACTTTCCATCCATCATCAAATTTGGAAAAATCAGTCTTGAACATGTCTTCGTACCGCTTGAACCAGGAGTCAAAAGTGTGACCAGAAAGAGGGTCGAATGTGAACTCCGTAATTGAGGCCGCGGCTGCATCAGTTGAGGAAACAGAAGACTCACCAGTACTGACTGCTGCTGTCTGGATATGCAGTTTCTGAGTCAGTGATTCAATGAGCTTCAGTTGCGCTTCTTCAAACTGCTTTTGTTGCTACTGCTCTAATGCTTTACGGTTGTTAATGTGATTGTGTGTCTGGGCTATTCGCTTTGACGAACTTGTTCGCGTGAATTCCTAGTTGGCCATGTACGGGTGGGACGATATAATGGTGGTCAACATGTTTTCTTCATTTCTATTCTTCTGCGATCGATTTTTCGTCATTTTTACTTGATCGCCAATTAGGCGACAAACCGAACTAGCTCTAGGCAATACTGCCAGATGGAAAAACAAAAAACGGGTCGGTAAAAAGCACGGATGTTCATAGCATGTTCCATTTTTTCAAATGTATTATCTACCTCAATATATCCTTTCTACTTGATTCTCCTATTGTTTCGGACAGGTACTCCAAAAGGTACAATGATCGAGCACGGACAATTTGTCGATGCAATGCTAGCAATGCTATCAAATGTTGATGGAAAGGTGAGATTCATTTTTTTCACTTTTATCATGACAACCGTCGACTTTGTTTCACCACCGGGCGATCTTCTCTTATCCTAATGGAAGTCACTATGGAGAGAAGAGCCTTTTTGCCTTTCTTTAAGATGATGCATACGATCGAGCACCGACGTACAATTTAGTGGGAAATTCCACAAACGACTATAGAGGATTAGGAAGGTTGGCTCTATCACGTATTCAGTTGATTTTATCTCTTAACGCGAGTATCTTTAAACTCATGTTGGGTTTATCTACTCTTCAGTGTTAGGTTCAGTTGTTGCCTCAAAGGCACCTCTTGACTACTCAGGGAGCTGAGTGGTCTCTGCTAATCCTTCTGGCTTTCATACCCCGTTTCCCATCGTCTGGGTTCTTATTGGTCCTTGACATTCCCTAAGTTTGGTGGTCGTCATCTCGACGGATGAAAACCCCTCAATATGTACCTAATAGTCATTCTCAAAAATGGCTCCCTAGTTTTTATCAACATCCGTTTCAGATGTGGGCATTTTCAACTTCTCACATCTCATTTTGCTGTACAAGCTTTACTTTGCTGCGCAGGACTAGCTTCTCACACGGAGCAAGTTGTTATTGGTCACACGACTTTCCTAGATAGTTGAGTTCCTTTTACACCGACTTTTGGGACCTCGATCATCCAAACCATGTGGTCTACTGTTTCATGTACAAAGTTCAGAATGGGGAGCAAATATCAACTACGGCGTAAAAAATACAGCGAAAATGCGGAACGCTTTGGAAATCTTCTTAAGTCAAAGGTCAGATAGATTTTAAAAGGACTCGTCTCTAAATCTTCTTCGACTTCCTTGAGTTTGACCAAATGATAAGACATGCCAACCTGAGTAGAGTGTCTGAACAACATCCGCATAAACCTGGTACTGAGGTGTAAGTCGAATACAACAGCTGTTCCTCAGGGACAAGCAGACTACTCGGGCCTGATGCAAGATGGAGTAGGGGAACACTGTAACACCTATCGCCATTGGTGGGAGAATGTGCAACTCAAGTCAATGCAGACGATGCATGTGGACTTGCATGCTAATGAAATGAAGTTCGTAGACCGCAGCAGACCTCGTGAACTGTAAACTAACACCATGCTGCCACATTTCCTACGCAGTAATTGCACACGAGGTATAATATTCTAACAAGATATCCATTTGACTTATTCGATTCACCCCAATACATGTTGGTTTGATTGAAAACGTGTGGATAACTATAGAAGTATTTAATCCATGTATAATGGAATACGAGAAGTTTATCAGCGGTATACCTCTACTTGAAGAGTTACTTCTATACTAGACTGACAAAAAACTAGCACCGCTCTAGAATTAGTGGGTGGTGCGCGGACAATAATTAATGTCTGCTGGGATAGACCGAAGATGCGGCATGATACTGTCCAGTGCAATCGAAAAAAACGATAAGGTCGCGCCTGCTGAATAATAGCAGTAGTTCTCTCTTGGTTTGAATTTTCCGTCAGTGCTTAACCATTTCGTCAGATTTCTTTCAGCTTGCGCCTCATAACCTCGTGGTTATTGAGACATTTTTCCTGTTTACCATATATTCTTAGGCTCATAACTTATCAGGTAAAATCCACCCCTCTAGGACATAATCCAGGACTCTCTATGAAAATAGTGCGCGGATGCTCCCTAGATGGGATGTCCCATGAAACAGTGGTGTAAAATGTCTCTTGTGTACTTCTGAGGAACAGCCTCTGTCTGGGGATGTCATCGTAGTCATTATCAGACGCAGCAACAGCAGTGCTGACACTAATGCTTCACTGCCGTACAACCACAAAATTTATCCTTCTATATCTCTAGATTTAGAATGAAATGAAGGGAAATGAGTGATTGGGGGAGGAGACCTGTCGCAACCATTCTGAGGTGCGTACGTTCCCGACACGATGCCCTTGATACCGATCGGCCGCCATTCCTCGAGGATCTCACCAATCAAGCGCAGAAGCAATCACGAGAATCCTATCCTGGAAAGCGCACTGCTTCAACAACATCAAAACTCTTCGCAATCTCACTCACTCCCTTTCACCAAGTCATACGTTGTCCACATCGCGGTTTCCGCCGTCCTGAAGTAGTCACAACAGTAGTCAGGCAACACTTGTTTCGGTAGATGGTGTTTTGGCATGCTTAGTACAGGGCCTAGTCATCACAGTTGATGGTGCCGGATGTTTTCTGTGATTGAAGTACCTGCTGGACAACCACCTACCCGGATTATGTTCACAAACTTCTGGGGCATAAACCGTTGGACAGGTGTGGTTGACAACACCAACCGATCTACGAATTCAAACGCACCCTTGAAGTCAAGGGATAAGAAGATTGTGGGTCTTCTGTCCATTTGGGGTTGCTCTAACCCCTCTACCCGGTCGAAATCCCGCTTGATGTTCAGCTGAATGAGTCACGTGCTACCGTAAGAGAACGAAGAATCAGTGATGCCAAAAGCCTTGTTACAACGTGGGTCAAGCCAGCACTTCTGTGTTTACCGCATTTACTGCGAGTACCCCTTTTGAAAATGGACACTATTGTCCAGTTTTTTGGAGCGGTCTGTGGTCAGCAGATCGCTGAACTATGCACATCCGGACTGTATGTGACTGAATGGAGACTGAAAGCAATACAACTGTTAACCAGGCCATTACTGGGAAGCGGATTCATCGGTAGTCGGAATTCTTAGAATTCGCGCAGTGTATGGTGGATTCATTGGTGCGCTGGGTAGGACTGCACTGCTGTTGTATGCTGACTTTGCCAAGTTGCTAGCCTGCTGCAGACGATCTGCTATCTGATACACCATCGAAGGTTAAAAAATTAAACGAACTGCATCGATTACGACTTGCTCAGGAGTGACGTTTGCTGTACTTCTTATAAATTGTGCTTCTTTCGTCTGGGGTACAGGCGGGTTTGTAAACTATTGTCCATATATACTTCCGAATATCCTCCATAGGAAACTGCATCCCCCCCCTATAGTCCGATAGCTGTGCATAGGTGTTTGCGTTGGAAAGTTAGGAATGAAGATACATGAGTTGGCAGATTCCTCATTCCGAGTGACGTCTCCTTACGGAAACTGGAATATCGTATGAAAGTGCAGATACGAGTAATCTACTCAAACGGTTTGATACCCAAACAAGTGATTACGTAAGGTGTTACGATGTTACGAAGATAAACTACTCGGGTCGGTCGCTCGTATACTCTGTGAATCGCAACGTCGTGAGTTGAATATTATCCTTTCCCACTATCGATTTTCTTTCAGGCAGTATTATCACTATGGTTTCTATAGGTGGGTTGGCTTTTAGTCAGTTCATTTCAGCATCGTACCAGGTTTCACCTCTCAGGAGTTCACGCCTTTGTGCATCCTTCTGACATCCACAAGTGAGAAATGAGGGAGACGTAACTTGATAAGGTATGCCGAGGTAAAACTGAAGTGCATGAGTCTGTGGAGATTTTCCACCTCCTTACAGCTGTACCTTGTAGAAATTACTTAGTGATTATCTTAGTATTCACTTGTTTATTCACTTGTTTCTTGGGTATCTGATGGGAAGACATGCGGTAAGGTTTTGTCTGAAATGGTTATATTTGTCCACTTTTATTTGAGAATGCCTGTCTCGTCTTCGGACGTACAGTCAACTCGAGAAGCAGTGGTGTACCTAATCATGAAGCAGGATGGAACGGTATCTATTCCGAACATAAAATCGGTCCACTACGTATTCATGTTATTGTCAGCATTCCATGAACGATTAGTGTATAAGCTCGTTACGGAACGTCGCTTACAGTAAACCATCCAGTCTTTTACTGTCTACTAAGGTCCTGACCATATGACATCGACTATACCTTGTGATCCATTCAGCATTCTTGCTGCACCCCTTTTGTACACAGACTGAATGTTTTACGCTGTCTATATGTCCGATATCTCCGATCAGTTCGATTACGATGCCGTTGGTACCAGCAACAAAGTCACTGTGACCACCACATCATCGATCACTTCTGGTCGTTGCCCACGTTTTTGCCTTGAAACCCAATGGTGCCCCGTGTAATCCCATGGATATTTGCCATCGTTGCGGAAGCCGACTTTGTTACTACGGGAAGTTGAATGCAGTATAGTACTGTTCTGGTCAGCAAGTCAGGCAATATAACAAAGCTGAATGAGGTAGCCAGTGGATCCCATGAATTTGGAAGTTGCACGTGTGAATGAAAAAAATTTAAGAGGTAGTTCGACTTTGTCAGACAGAAAGTTAACATGGTTGCACCGATGTTCAAATGTCTCGGACCGGCTGAAATTATCACTTCCACGTGCCGGCCGAAGTTTGTTCAGTCTTCGACGTTCGACCAACAGGGATTCCTCTCAGGTTCATCTCAAGTACCTACGATGCATGCTAACCCGCCTGGAGCATAAGTGATACAAGCATGGTCTAGGGGATACCTTCGAATTCATATATGCAGACGATCATTAGGACCAAGCTTTCATTCTCTTTTTCTGTTCACGTTGAAAAACAGCTGAATCAGTCGCTAACTTTCCGTGCTGTTGGGAACACGGATATTCTACAGATCATTTCAAAGGTGCTTGTAGAGGAAAGCAACTTAGATTGTAGCTCTGTTTTACTTCTATTTCAATCAGTCAATTCTGACAAGAAATAGGCGAAATTTGGTACCATGTTTGGCCGGTGCGACTTCAAATGGCTCAAACAAAAGGAAAATGGCCTCTCTCTGTGACGTATGTCTTCAGAATGGCTATCCCATAGGGTCTACCCAAGTAGAATTATCGGCAGATAAAAACCCCTCTATTCGTGTTTACAGTTCATAAGCCCACACAACTGCCGAACTTTTCACTCATCACTTTCCAGAAGCTGAGTGCAAACCTTATGTCCACACCCTACGTTAGTTTCCCTTTCACACTACCTGAGGTCAGATAATCAAGCGCTATGTTGCCAGTCCACAGTAAATATTCTGCGTACAATCCCCTCGAGTGTGGTATATTAGAAGGACAAAACAGGACCCCATTAGAAGGATATATGAAGACCATCTGCCTGTTTCTGAGTCCGTAAGACGAGTGACGACTAACTCAGCCTATCTGGTCAAGCCTAATCACCTTCTGAACATCAGTAACGATTTCGGATTGCTCATTCGGATGTTACGTGCCTCGACACGAGGTAGTCTTTAGTGAATATTACGGCTCCAGCCTTTGTTTACACAAACGGCTTGGCCGGGCGTTAGTTTTGTCCTGGGCTACCATCTACTGGAAGCATATCTTTGCAGTGATTCCCTGGACGGGACACAAGTGCCTCCAGTTCCTGGTTAATATACTCGTAAATATCCATCAATTGATATCTGAGTACCGTAAGCTCAAGAGACCATCACTCAAAAAGTGTGTAGTTGAATTTCCTCGAAAGAAGCAGAAAGGAAGTCGTGGTTGACTATCATCGGCTTTCCCGTTAAAGTATCTCGTGCTGAATTATTCTAACTGTGCTTTTCAGGCCATTCAGGTTACATTCTCTCTGTATTTTACTAGTAAACGAAGCACCAAAAAGCACCTGTTCCTCTGGCTTTTACCCGAAACAACATCTTGCGTTTTGAACTTTCTAAACCACCAGTCATTAACTTCAAATTCGAGTGGCTTGTCAGTTCCGACAGAGCGAAGCTGAGGAAACCAAGTGTTGAAAACTACTGAGTGCCAAGCGTGTGACCACTAGTCTATGTCATCTCGTAGTATTCACGTCAGGCATCGTGTTTTTCTTGAGGGCCTCACACTAATCACTGTAACGTGAGTCCAAGTTCTACTCAAAATACTGCTCTCATCGTGTGGTGACCTTTGTTTTTTCAGATGAGTGGCGTTTTAACGTTTTGGCATGTTGTGACGTGTCCCCAGTTTTTGAGTAGTGTTCTCGTAGTACGTGGTGTATCACATTAGCCGGTGACAGGACATGCAGAAACAGTGCCTGGCCAAAGCTGGATGTCGTAGCGATAACTGCTGAACCGGGAGCTTGGTTCAGCCAGTTATTGGTCGTTCCAGAGAAATCAGTCAAGTTGTAACTCTGTATCGACCGTAAGCTGTAGAATTCTGTTCTGTGTCGGCAACACTAGACGTCATATTGTCAGATCCACGTCAAGCGAAGTTCGTCAAGCTGAGTCTGTTGCCTGCATTCTGGTAATATACCTAATGATCGACCAACAATCGACCTCATTACGTTCAGTACGCAGTTCGGTCCACTTGAGCAGATTAAGTAAGCCGTTACGGAAGTACACGTTTTAGCGGTCATGCATATCAACGGTCAACCATTCAGTACGACAGTGATCCACCAGGTTTGCGAGCACCACTACTGCAACTGTGTACTGTAGAAGTTCCGGTAATATGAAAACTGAGGGGAACTTTGGGGATGAAATGCCAGTGTTTATGTTCACTTTAGAACACCTTGATACTTAGGCGTTTGACACAGAACCCCAGAGATTATGAAAACATCAAGTGCGAATCCCTCAGTATTTGCGGTGGATCATCGCGTGACTGTGAACTTTGTTGTCAAACAGGAAGCCAGTTTTTCACTCTCGGAAACCCTCTGGATCGCACGTTCGAACAGTTCGGACTAGTTAGTTCTAATGATACCAGATCCATCTTAGATGAGAACTTGGAACAAATCATAGAGGTCGCGGGAGGATATCTGGCCTTCACGGGACTCTGTGATGCTGTCCACAAAGGTTGACCAACCACAAGAGGAATTTGCTCCTCAGAACTCATGGTTTTCCCGCAAGGACCGAAAGTTATTCGCGATCGATAGTGGCGGATGTTGAAATATGATCAGTTATGAATACCGTTTACACAAGCCAGCGGAACCAACCCATATCGGTACGCCAATTGTCAAATCTTCTATGGCAAATTTTAGCAGTGAATCCTTTCGGCTTCATCCAAAATCACTAATTTTCAATGATGACTAGTACAGTGGTATTTTTCGAAATCGACCAAACGACCATCCCCACTGCTTCATAAGCGCGATCTGGTTTTTTAACGATGTGAGGTGCTCAGTATTTAAAACTATTTCGAAATCGTGATGTCTTGAACACTGGACTGGCGGCTCTTATCACAGGCAGTCCGATGGTAAACCTAAGTCGGCAGCTGAAATTACCGTCGAGAAATCCTAAAACGCGGGGGACACTCCGTACCAAGTGGTCCTGGAACAACAAGACATACCGACGTATTAACGGAGATACACCTGAGTACATTATCGGAGAGCTCGCACTCCTGCACATGGTTGCCAGTTCCTTAGCGCTCGATGCGCACTATCCCGAACCAGTCAGAGGACCGCAGAATGTATTGGGAATATTTCCCTGATGGTCGTGATAAATCCCAGACAGAACTGCACTCTGGTGGGATGTAAATGTGTTTGGCAGCAGCCTAAAAATATATTGAGGGCATAATACCTGCAAGTTATGGATTTCAAACGCAGCAATAGACTCCATCGTTAGAATAAGACACCGAATTCATGTACGAAAACAGCTGCCTGAGTGCCAAGTAACATCCAGGAGCTGACGAGGTCGAAAGGGCCCAAAAACGCTTTGTTAAGTGATGCGTTTTGAACTCGAGGCCTTAAAAAAGTTCATCTGTTTGTTTGGAAAAATGTTTTTGGGGGACGCATGTTTTAACTCGTGTAATTTGAAGCTGTTCGGACGTGCTTTGATTAGACATCTTTCTGCGAACCACCCTACGTTTTACTGCACGAAGGTGTAAATTACTACCAGGTCGTCAAAGGCTAGACAGGAGCAATTCCAGAGTAGGTTCTAATCATGCGCCTTCCCGTCATTAGCCGGAATTCCAGTCTTGTCTTATCTCATGCCACTGCTGGAGAGTTCCAGTGAGAAAACTCCTCTGATGGCTTTCAACTTTTTGGTTATAGAGCTCATTAGGATTTAAAAATTCTGAAGCCTGTTAAATTTCTAGGGCACCAACCCAAATTTGCTTTGTCCGAGATGAAGGCAACACCACTAGTTCATTTTACCTTTGCACCGATGATTTTCCCCTGTGAGCAGTATAAAAAATGACGCGTGTTTTTTGTCTCCTTTTCTTTGCCTCTAGTTTGTATACCCACAGCTTGTGCATTTATCATACCTACCCCTGGCTCACATACTGGAACAGCTGTTCATGGTGAGTTTGCGAATATGCATTATGCGGTGGCCTCATCATCAACCGTTTTATCTTGTTTACATAAACTATTGTCACAGGACGGCAACCGCTTCCTGTTAACTGAAAAGCATTCTACAGTACAAAACCGACCCTTTCTGATGGGTGACGTTGTCACTCCTAACGACAATTAGTACGTGTCTTGGAGACCCAATTCACCACTGAACACGCATCACTACTTTTAGGCACCGGTTTATCTCCATAATCACGCTCCACCTAATTATCTAACTGCATTCAACGCATACAGGTCTATTGGTCGTTGATTAGATGGCTGTTGAATTGTCCTCTTAGCTGGGCTATTGAGTTGCAAACGTTTCGTCACTATACGACGAGACATCGTCAGTGCTTGTTTCGGTGGCTACTACCTCTGCCCTTGAAGATTACTTGTTAATTTAATTAGCTAGTTTGGAGCGTGAACTCATTGGTTCGTTCGTGATCTTTGTTGCGCTGTCGTCTGCATTCTTTTGGGTCTATTGGTTATCCTGGTGCCTTTTTTTAGTAGTTTCTTCGTATGCTTTGATTGTCGCCTTCTCAACTCGTGTAGTGTCGTGGTCTGATCTGATTGGTTGGTTTCACCACCCTTATTTCTCTATTGTAACAGCTGGTGTCCCTGCGTCCGTTTATCGGCCGGATTCGTAGAAGTTTGTTATGGATGTACTCGAGATCCCCAAAACATTTGCCCATGTGTGGAAGATATTTGGTAATGCTTCGGGCCGTCAATGCACTCATTATATTGTTCTGGGGGGTGGGGGGTGGCTCACTGGTTAGGCCGCGAATTTACAGATCGGTAGGTCAATGATTCGAACACGGCCTCTGCATCTCGACTTCTCCTGTCTAGGCTTGGGCAACCTGGCAGTATCCCATCCCTCGTGCTTCCTTTAGTTCTTGTATCGTCCCTTGTCCTACAAGGAAAACCATAATTTTCGTTCGGTATTCGCTAACTTTCAATTAGTTAGCGTCTTACCCAAGTACGCTGACATATGGGATCGCAAGTTTGAAGGAATGATGCGACCTTTATTGAATGTTATGACCGGAGAGTTGTGCAGTTCAAAATGATACCCATAGTCGGGTCACACTATCAACGTTGACTTGGAAGACCATCTTAGTTCTGCATGTATGGGCTCATTTGCCAGGTGTCCGGGCTTAGTTATTTGAATTGAGAGGCTGCAAGCGCGCTTATGAATTTCTGCCTGCGTGTGCTCGTGCAAGCACATGAGATTTTATAAGCCGGTGCAGATGAACACTGCTTTTCCAACATGAAACTAACTGTTGATATCGGTGAAAATATAAAAATTTTCTCGACATTCTACTCAAACATTACTCTTTGATGCTGTTGAAGGCTAAACGCACTATGAATTGCAAACGGTAGGTGGATTTGCACTGATTCCAACCGAAAATTGCTTTTCAATATTTATGATTTGATTCAGGAAAGGCGGCACCGATTCCATTCTAGTTCCGGAATAACGGTGATTGTATTGCTTTTTGTGATCCTGTTGTGCTTACATCGATTCACAGTTTCTCCACTCTTTTCCGACACGGAATTAGACACCATAACCAGCGCTCACCCTCAGCGAATGATGCTATGCCGGTGCGCCTAACACCTGGTCAATTGCAGTTTACTCTGTTGTATATAGTCCTCAGTGAAAATACTCGCTGCACAACCGAAACCCCGATTCCTTGATTACTCCGAGCCATAACTCTCAAGTTCAAAAACCTGAAGATACATCATATCCTCGCCATCCCCACCGATTATGTCTCGCTAACATAATAATGACAATATTATCCGTTCAGTTGTAACACCCTTTCGGTGCCTAGTTTCCATGCCACCCGAAGAAGACATGAGGAGTGGGATACTGTCAGGTTCCTCAAGTCCATACAGGAGCACTCGGGATTTCGGGATCGGGTTTGAACCATGCACCTTTCGGTCAGTAAGTTTGCATCTTAACCACTGAGCTAACTCGCTAAGATGCGAAATAATGCACCGTACTGAGTGATTTTACTGTCGACGCTTGAGGCCGAGTGTGGTATGGTTGTCTGACGAATGTAGTCACTCCGTCTATCGCCTCTTCCTCGTATGTCTGTATCCGATTGTAGGGTTCCTATTACTCGTCTACGTAAAACGTGTGATCAGGCTACCTGACTGTACCATCTCAAAAAATTCGAAGATGCTTGTTCAACTTGCCTGTTCATGGAGTTGTCCTAGATGACCACCAGTACAGGAGAGGTGTTGGTCCTTTTTTCTACCTGAGGCACACTGTGCGCTTTTGAATGGGCATTTTTTAAAGGTCAGATTACCATCACTTATCGCAACCAAACGATTATGGAATGAAATATCTTTTCTCGTGTAAAGCTGATTGAACTGCATTGTGAAAAGCTTGTGCTGTAATAAAGTTCTAGAAACAGCGGTACAAAATAAAGCAATTACAGGTAATATTGTTTATCAAGCACTATTCATCCGGTCCATTAAGCCGTTTTGGCGCAATTTTTATCGAATAAATTAGCTTTCGAAAGCCGTTCATTTGTGTATGGAATATCATGATAATTCGTAAGACGTCACACCAGTTGGTCATCCATAACATTAAAAAAGATACACTTCCGTACCAAGGAACTACTTTGTGAAGTGCACTAACAGACTTGTTGCTCTCATTCGCCCAAACATCCCTGCTGCGTTTCTTGATAGATAATGTATCAGTTGTCTACAAAGTCCATGTGTGTGCTTGGCTGTAAAGTTGTACCTGGCTCTGAACAACCATTTTCTCTAGCATCAGTGCGCTACATCCAATCAGTCCATTCGTTGCCATCCATACTTGCTCGTTTGTCCAAAACAGGATCATGCGGGTAAACTTGTTGTCCAGTACTGTCCCAACCTATCGATCAGATGCATTCCGTCCTATACCCTACCTGGTTCATTCTACCGCCTTGAGTTACGGCTCGATATCCACATCTCCGTGCCTGCCGTTCTCGTGGCTTGTGTGTGTACAGTTGTGCGTGGATGTGTTCTGAAATTTGTGCCTCTCTTGTCCAGAGTTACTGTCATAATCGCATTCCTTAAGGTGATTCTGTTCACACATATCTGCTTCTTGCCACAGCGATGAACTCACACCATCCATTTATCGGGCGTACTTCAAAATCACTTCGTAATTTAAGATTACAGAATAAATCGTTGGGTTCATTTTAAGGCCACGATTTAGTCTCCCCTGTAACTGTGCTTATTTCCCAAAACGTTGTACCACGGCTCTGTCTTCACGTACACTTTGGATGCCGTTACATCAATTTTTCGATCGTTAAAACACTACTATTGTGACATAAAAGAATGTTTACCATGCATCAACATACCGATTGATTGTCACATCTGATGCACTTCTCGGCTCTTTTGGTTCTGATCAAGTGGTGCGGTTGGCGTTCTATGTCGGTTTTGCACTTGGCAGAGTTTACGGCCAGTGTTTGGCCTTACAGGAGATTCTTTCACACCTCTGTTTTGAATGTTGTTCATGTTGTCCTGATCGTTTTCGCAGTGGGACTTACATGGGACACGGTACAAAAACCTCTAACCGAGCAATATACTGTGTCCAACTGATGTTAGAGCAAACTTCAGCTGGAATTGCCGGTTAGGTATCATCCCGTTGAACACACGGCGCACTTACTACTGAAAGCTCTCGGATGTGCTTTTTCTAGGTAGTGCACCCGAACAGGTTTTTTGGTTTGCCCAGCGTTTGTTTTGACTTATTCGGTACATGTTTCTGCTGTCGTTGTTTTCAGGGCTCTGTACTGATAGCGGGCGCACGAGCCGCGTTCCTGACCGGTGGACCAGAAACCCTCTTGGCTGATCTTGGCGCGGTTAAGCCAACTGTATTTACCGCAGTCCCCCGAGTTCTCGACCGCATCCAGAAAGAATACTACAAAAAAGTTCCAAAAATGTTTCTTTCGACGCTGCGGAAATGCATTACGAAGAAAAATGCTGAACAAGCACGGTGAGTCCTGTTTATTTCTCTAAAGCCTACTGTCGCTCCACATGCGTTTATCCCCGTTATTTTGCCCATATGGCCGATCCCTGTTGTTTCATCGCTCTAAGGGCTCCGTAATTGATTTCAGGTGTAGTTTCTATACTCACTTGAATTTGTTTATTCTATTTCTGACTATTTAAGGCATCCTTAAAATAACATAAAACGGACAAATCAGCCACGTTCGCTTGTTCAGGCGCATCCAGAGTGCGCTGATGGAGTAATCATAACACGCTCACCTCGTGTGTCAGATGTCCGGAGTTCAAATCCCGGCACGACTGGCGATAAGTTCCAATAAGAGCTGAACTCGAATTCAGTACCCTCCCCCCTTTTGGTGTGGACGTACCAAAATAAATGTGTTAGGGAACGAAAGCGACTGTCCAAACGAGAGTGATGTGAATGTGGACTCTGTTGTATGATGATTCGAGCAGCAGATTAAAACGTTCGGCAGTTTATTCTACTGAAAAAATACTAATTACAAGTACTTCGGCTGCTTGTTTTTTTTTCAAATAAAAAGGAACAGGTTTAGTTACATTCCAAATTGGAAGTTCATATACCCGAAGCATTGGCAGAAAGGCAACCCTGATGATATACCACCCTAAGAATATCTTTTCATTCGTGCTATTTTTACTTCTGCTTCCCATTTCTAAGTGTGTGGAATCAAATCACACAAGATCGCCGTGAACACTCAGAGTCCCAAGCTGCAGTTGCTGTGTAGACTGCGGGATGAACTTACGAAGGGAAGGTGATTGATACTAGGCTAACTCTGGCGTCTAGGTTTAAACCAATGTCGGCTAATTGTATAGTGGTACGATTACCACCTCACTTGTCAGATGGCGGGAGTTCACATTCTGGTACTAATGGGGAGCTGCAGTACGAGAGGTGGCCAAATCCTGTGATTTGTGCTCATTGTGGAATAACCAGACTGATCCCTCCCACCGTCGGTGTAAATTCTACAGGTCGAAAACTGCTCACTATTACCTATATCTTATCTGGCTTTGTTCGCAACTTAGGGCTTGTGAAGATCTTAGCCCCGTTCGGTCTATGTTGTCTTATCCTACTGCTCAGATAGGTTTACCTTTGTGACATTCAAAGGTGCGGACACCCTAATCTCGACTATTATCTCTTGAGGCATTGAGTTTTTCGGCACCAGTTTTCATCCCTTTCCCGTTTTTAATTGGGCATTCTGTCTTACCCGGTTTGATGTGCTTCTTGTGATTGCGCTCCTCGAGATGATAGTTTGTGACGCCACCCACTTTCACATCGTCCCTTTCCTACACGAGGACGGGGAGCGTCTTGGCTGTCTCAAAGCCCTGCTACTCAAGTAAGAAGAGTGCCTGGCTGGCTTTCCAAGGTGTAGATCCCGTGTTGGTTCCGCTGACATAGGTTTTACACAGGATTGTCGCTGGTTTGTTTGCTGAACTGGTTCTAACTGAACTGGTTCTAAACGTTTCGTCATCAGTTGGGATGACAGTACCGGTGCTTTTGGGGTCGAATTGCGCAAATGTTCTGCGTACATGGGTTTACCATGACCTATTATGGGTGGTTTGAGGGGAATTACTATAATATTCTTCGTTGACCTGTTTGCCTGGTATGTTTTTGTTTCTCTCCATACTTGACCTTCCGTCGCACCCTTCGTCCGCTTGCTTACACAGTAGACAGAATCGATCCAGCTTTTCAACTGAATACCACGACGGCGTCAATCTTAGTACGGTTTAGTGCAAGAAAAATTGGTTATGTCGGTATTCCGACATTAAACAGCGTGTCCTAACCATTGAGTTAGGTTAGCTGGTCGAGGTGATCTATATCAGGGTGCAAACTGCACATACCTTCTTTCGGAATGCAGTCTGAAGCAAGCCCCCGAAGAACAACTGTTGTCGAAAACCCATGTGGTTAGTATCTGAAATGAATGTGGACCAGGTTTCGCAAACGAAAAGCAGAACAAATCGAATTCCAGTAGTTGGCCTTCAAACTACTCTCTCCAGCTTGCTACCGCACGTGTTTTATTGGCTCGTTGGTGGACATTATTTAACCCTCGTCATCCTTTATCTACCAGTTCTAGAGCATGGTTGGTCCCGGATAGTTAAACTCACAAACATGATCCACCATGTCTACGTTCATCCCAAATGGTCCTCTAACACCCTGTGGTGTTAGAGGTTTCCATTAGAAATTGTCGAATTTGATTTACATGCTTTCATCGTTACTTCCAAGGCTTTATTATCCCTATAGTAAGGTAAATCATCCGGGCCACATATTTCATTTGCCCTCGGCTGTATTCGGTATCATCTTGACCCACTGAGCAGTCCAATTAGGCATCGAGTCATTTTTAGCTGTCTACCATTGGTCTTACTTAGTTACAGGAATCTCCTGGATCGGTACAACCGACTAACTGCGACCTTTGAGTACTTATCAAGAACAGATTTGTCTTAGACTTTCAGTAGCCTATATTTTCATATTACCAAGTTAGGGGTAACTATCCCCAAGTTTCTGTGTTCATTACTCGGGATTGCCATTGTGCTTGTGGTGTGTATGCGCCAGCAAGGTTTAGAATAACGCTTACATAGTATTTCATTTGATCTCCGAGTAACTTGATCATAAGACAAGATTCTAACCATTTCACGGTACTGTTTGATTTGGAGGTTGGTCATCTGTGATGTTTGTCTGTTAGACTTTCTTCTCATAAATACACTTTACTTGGTTCTTCCTGTACCATCAAACGCTGGAGAATCCACTGACTTAGTTGGTCCCCCCTATTCCAATGAGATGGACAGTACGCCCCACGCTGCGGGCCATGATGATTTACCTGAAACGATCTTACCACCTTGTTTGCTTTCTTGCAGAGGAAAATTTGACCATTCAAGTTTGGCCGATCAGATTTTGTTCAAAAAACTTCGAAAGTCTCTAGGCGGACGTATTACGTTTATCGTTTCCGGTGGTGCTCCATTACCCGTTGTGACGCGTCGCTTTTTCCAAGCTGCTTTGGGCTGTCCAGTAAGCTTCCCGATCTTTTGTCACCAATGCTATTTCCATACCTTTCGCAGCTCAATCAATATCGCTTTCTGGACTCTTATTGAAAACAGCAACAATTGTGACATATCTCTTTGGGATGTGGCTGGAATCGTTGTGTATCCAATCGTGCTACTATAAATTTCGGCCGTTGGTGTGTTTAGTCATCGTTCACACGCCATTTCCTAGGCAGTTTTATGTTACAGTATGATTTACTCAAATCTATTAAGATTGTTTGCAACACTGTTCATATTCATGGGGTCGTTGAACTGATTTACGAGTGTTTTTGATGGAATCACATCCGATCACTTCTGTTTATGGACATTCGGGTCAACTGGCTTGGCAGCTAGATTTCAAACGCTTACTCTCCAGTAGGAGAGTCATCGTCCGTGCGTGATCGACTGAGTGATCACCCTCACTTACTGTCACTGTGTCGGAAAACGGACGCTAACATTCTACCGAGGATGACCTTAGAATTTTTTTCTCATCCGGGTGAACTTGTCAGGGGCCTCATCATCAATGACAGATAAGAACGTTAATGCTTCATTGCCATACAACCATGTCAGTTTATTTAAACGAAGTCTTATATTGGAAATAAGAAAGTATTTGGAGCACATATAGTGACCTAGGGCTAGCTTAGCGCAAAAATCCGAGGTGCCTGCTCCTCCAGACAACCTGAATAGAAACTTACAGCGTGAATGCGCCACACCGACCAGTGTCTCTTGCCGAGCACAGGACGGCTCATGTGAACGCATCCTGGAAGGTGAGCAGCACCAATGGCTTTCAAACTTGTAACACTTCCTCATTTCTGCCCACATCTAGTTTTCTACAGACGTCGAAAACAGCAGTCCCCTCGGTAGGCAGTTGGCCTAGCCACCTTTTCTTGAAATGCTGAATTCATTCTTTCTCTGCTTCACCAAAAACCTGTCTCCTGAACGCCTGTTGATTAAAGAGGTAGTGATGTTCCATGAGATGTGTACACTTCTGCTGTTGCCGCTCAGCCGCACGAAATATGTAATGACGTTCCTACGAACTATTTGCGAGAATGATGAGATCATAGTAAGATATGAACCGTCAACTATGACTATTCACTCAGATGCTTCTACAGCGTCTTTGCAGAGGTCTAATAGCATGGTGGACTCCCACGGACCTACGACCATACGACGCTTTGAAATTGCGTGACATAATGTGAGGTCGAGTGCCTTGGTGGTGTTGAGATTCCCGATACGGAAATTTGAGTGACGCTTAGGTTCGACAATCCCGAATATCAAAAGGAAGAATTGGGTCCGTAATTCTACAAGGGTAAGCAAATATGCACAACAAACCTCAATTGTTCGTAGCGGCAACAAGTTCACAGGCCTGTCACTGACCGGCACAGTGCAGTGTCAACGTCCGCACACCAAACAACGGCAAGCGGAGAATGAGGGCTCAGCAGCGTGGGTTTCGGTTGACCCTTCCGACGACAGTCTCGTGATTCTTATTGGACGTGCGATCACACGGGACCCATGAGAAAAATGTCAAGGCGGACTCAAAAACAGGACATGAACGCACATGGGTGAGTAGGTCAGCAGCGCACATTCGCACACGGGCACATTTCAATACACAGGCGTCGGAAAGGACGGCCTGTGCGACAATGTGAGTGGCGGGTACGAAAAAAGACTGGAGATCAAAAGAACATAGGCACAGTAAGCAAATGAATGGGGGAATTAGCATAAGGTCATTTTCAGCAACCTTATAAGTAGTACATTACAAATGTATAAAAGGTCAAGTTAGATTTAACAGGGGGAGAGATGACTCGGTGGTTAGAACGCGAATTTACTGGCCGGAAGGCCGATGGTTCGAACCCGACCTCTGCCTCTCGACCTCTCCTGTCTAGGCTTTGGCAACCTGGCAGTATCATAGCCCTCGTGCTTTCTTTGGGTGGCATGGTAGTTAGGCGCCAAAAGGTGTTTTAGCTGAACAATTATTATTTTTTTATTATTATGAGTGCCTTCGTCAGTCGCTGTCTGGGAGTTTCATAGTGTATACTAGATAGCATCAGCGATACAAAGTCAAAGGACATAACACACCTTGTTTTGCTGTGATGCCCATCCATCGCCATCCATCGATGCGAACCATATTGACACATTCGATCAACTTTTTCACCTATGCAATCACTCTCGTCTATCATCTCCTTTTCCTGAAAACGGATAGTGACCTAATTAGGGTAAACTCTGGTGAGGTGGGGAAATTGTCGAGTCTTCTTTACCGTAATATGGCTTCTTGTCTTTCAGGTTGTCGAAGGCTATGGTGCCACCGAAACCTGCGGGGTTGCTTGTATGACGTTGATAGGTGATGTGGAGGGTGGGATAACTGGTGCGGTCACCTGTGGCGTGGAACTGAAATTGGTCAGTGTTCCGGAACTGGGTATCAGCCTAGAGGCTGATCAAGTTGGTGAGGTAAGTAATGGTCGCCTGTGCTTCAGTTCAGTTTGGTTTGTAGGATAGTGTGGATAAGAGATCCGTTCTTTTGGTATCGCAAACATTGTTTATTATTTATGGAATGGTGGTTTATTTATTGGACTATTTGTATATACTTGCTGTCTTTTTCTCAAAACCGTAGACCTTACGGTAAACTTCGAATGTTGTTGGATTTTGCTTATGGAGTTCTACGCAGATGTGAATAGGAGGACTACGTGAGGATTGTGGTCTGATAGATTAGGGGAAAGCAGTACATGAACCCGTTTTCTGTACATTTCTCACTCTTTTTCACGTGTTCAGGTTTTTCGCTCTATGTGACATTTGGAAAACCATACTTTCAGTAACCCTGTGTTTGTATTGGTGGTTCGCTTTGGTGACATACAGAGTACGATGTTGTGCCTCCTTCTGTCCACTTCCAGGTCTGCTTACGAGGGTCGCGGTGTACAAAAGGATATTACAAGGACCCGGAGAATACAGCAAAACTGATTGACCCTGACGGTTGGCTTCATACAGGTGACGTTGGCCGATGGACTCCGGTGAGTGGCTTCATCCATGCATTACCGTCATGTTACTCACACTTCTCAGTTGTTCAGCCACACTGCGTGTTAGGTAGTGTTCAGTTGCCTGTGCCCGGTACATGTGATTCCACTGGGCTGACCTGCTAAAATTTACTTAGTTTGTATTGACTCAGGTACATTGTAGTGTTGTAACCATGGCAACCAAACCATATTTTGACCGTGGCTGCCTTTTTTACGAACGGTTCACATTAGCGTCCACCACCTTCAGCTAGTTGTGAACATTTATTGCTGATGCTATTTGTGACCCGATTGGTGCATTAGATGTTTACGTGATTTTAGTTGCTTCACAGACTTTATAGTTGGCACATCACCCATATGCGGCCTTTTGTTGAAGCAGGTTTGTTGAATTTCTTTTTTCATGTTGAGTGGCACCTGGCCTCGTAGGACAGGACACGTGACTGCGGTAGCGGTGTACTGTGTGCATCAAGAATGGCACGCTGGTTCATTTGGTTGTTGATGCCGGCCAAATGTAGAGGTCGGCCAGTCATTAAACTCATCTTCAGCCAGAGGGTAGCATCATCGATGCACGCTATGTTTGAGTCCTAGCCACAATTTAACCGACTATTCGTGCATTCAGGTACACAGTCGCGGTCGTTTGACAATCCCTACTGTTTGATCGGTTGTCTCCCGTAGTGAGCACACCACTATAGAATGTTGGTGACCGTTATATGCAGTCCAGAATTTGGCCTTCAGGGCCATCGAGGAAGTTTCTCTTAGTGTTGGGGATATCAATATCCCCCAGAAAACGCTGTTTTTATGTGTGCTAGCGAACTCCTGGCATCTTCAAGGTCAAACTATGAAAAATCAATGGCCTATTGATACTCCAAGGAAATTTAAATCCGACCACGTACAGGATACCATTCTTTCCACTGACTTGGGTTCGGAAGCTCCGGGCATCGCCTGTTGATCGTGTGTTGTTGGATTATTAAAGTTTGTGTCCGAGGTTTTCGTCTTCTTACTATTCGCCGTGCTAGGAGTCTGGATCAAGCAACATAGCTGGGGATAGAGTATTGTCACAATCCGCATTATCATATTGTTTGCTCGCTGCGTGACAGAACCGTAACACTTAGTTACTCCCAATCGTGATTGTATTTCGCCGACCCGTAAAGGGTGGGCATCGTATCATTTCCATTCTCTACGCATAACCTGTCGTTTCCAACCATTGTTTTTGTCGATTCTTGAATTTTATTCATTCTGCTCCATGTGTTGCCGCAATATCTGTACTTTCTTTCGCCTGTATTGTTGAGACGGCGAAAACACAATGTATGAAGATAGGGACTAACAGCGAGTCCCACCCTTTATTTATGTCCCGACCTTTTAAGACCCGTTTTTACTTGAATATGTCCCCTCCGAACAATTAGCCCTCTCAACATTCATGAGCAGTGTCATGTTAGTCAGAGTACTCTAACATCTTAGTTTTTGTCCCAACCGAAACATGAGGAGGGTCTTTGCGCGACACAGTCAAGTGGAAATTATTACGAATGGAGAATTCAGCTGATTGTCCCGTTACTACTTTAAGGTGCAAAGGAGTGTGTAACTTCACATACGCCTAATTTGTTTTTCTAACAAAAAACGAAAACGACTGATAAAAATTCATGGACTCAGCCACCCAAATTAGCTTCAAAATGGGTAGAACTGGTAATTGGTCACCCATCAATTTTCCGCAAGCTCATGAGCAACAGAGTTTATGTTCTTTTTAGCCCTGAATGGCGAATTGGGTGCCTTCGTTGCTTATTCTCCCCCATAATGCTAATAAAACTGTTAAACTACCACAATGACAATGCGAATCGAGCATATTCTATTATTAGGGATTAGACAACTCAGTTCCTTTTTTGGTGTCCTGGTATGAATTGTCCTGAGTATGAGATGGTATTCGGACTTCGCCAGGTGGAATACTTTCACCACATGCTCAGAAACGGTAGTTACCGTCATTCACAGCGTGGCAAGTGATCGCAACCGTAAACTCCGCACGTCTAGTATCTCCACGTTGGGCTGAGTTGCCGGAATGACAAACGGTCTTGGTGCATGGGTATGCAGCGCATGAACCCTCTCCTCTCGTTTTGAACACTAAGCAAATTGAGCGATCAACCTTTTCAAATAGTCGTGAGAATTGGGATTAAAATCGACCACAATAATTATTTGATTTCGCTACATTCAGTTACACTGTAGAAATACCTTGATTATATTGGTATACACATGGTACTAGACAAACTTTGAAAAATATTGGTAAACATTTTGCCGGCCTACACAAGCTAGACGATTGTGTGCGGTGAAAGTACGCCGAATGTCCCTCGAGCCTGAATTTCTCAGGAGGGCTACCACGGTTGTGCAAACCGTAGCACTGCGTGCACTGGCTTGTTATGGATACAAATACATCGCCATGGTACAGAGAATCCCCAAACAGCATTCAACGGCAACAAGGAGCAATACACCCAAATAAAGCACGCCCAAAGTAATTCTTATAATGATAACGAAAAAAAGCATTTTTATTCAAAGGCCAACAACAGCGACAACGAATTTCAGGGACAGTCATAAAGTGCGCAAAACCTCTTACCTAGTCCCTTCTTTCCTTCTGTGTTAGAGACAATGCAATTATGCATTTGTCTTGAGTTAATTTTTTGAAAAAACAAGTGTTTGCTAGTGACTCCGACCAGATTTCGAATACGGAAAAAAACATCTGAGACTGTATAATTTCGAACATTCTAGCTCTGAAAACTCATCTATTGCAGGGATAAAAGAACACAAAATCGGTCCCTGTTGGTACAAATGCCTGATTCAGATCCTGTTCGACTGCATACCGCTTAGGAATCCGAAATTAAATTTGTTAGCAAACGCTGATTTCATAAGCATGTTGCATCACTGAGAATAGCAGCTCTCAGTGTGCTACTTTCACCCAACACAGAGTGAGATCGTTGTTCAGAGGCTCGTGCATTCTTGAGGATCATTCTTTGGAATTTCGTTAGCCGTCTACTCTTGAATAAAAAGCGCCTTGTAAACAATATCATACAATCATTTCCGAACATCAAAACATCATTTGTTTGGACGTCCTCGTCCCAATTGCGGACGTCCGTCGTTTTTACTAAATGGGTGCACGTTGTTTCCCTCTCGGATGCTTGTCGCGCCCAGCTTGTGGGCTCCAGTGAGCAAAGTTTTGACAAATAAGTTTACTACACTACACTTCGGCTGCTGGTGACTTGCAGTTCACTTTCCCTTGTTTGTGATCCCCTCTGGCTTCTGTGTTACGACGCTCCATCATCCTTTATCGAGCATCTTATGGTGATTCGTGATTTCTGCTCACTGGTAGACTGTTTCTTCAAGCAGAATTCACTTGTGTGTTGCTCTCCACGTTCCCTGAGAAATCCCGCCTTCCTATTTGCACGCACAATTCAAGGTTCTTTCCGTGAATACTCTTTTCTACACAAGGATTTAGCCTGATCCCTGAGTCTGTTGTTTCCAATACACGGATAAGTCCCCGTCTAGTGGTAGACACATCCGAGCAAACCGAAGGTGTCATGCACACACCTTTCTACGAAACCTTCAGTGCGTTTGTGCCCTTTTACTTCCTTACCGAGAGAATATCGAGTAGTCCCGAATTTGGTGGTGGTCTGGACCATCTTTCTGTTATCACTGTTTTATCACACATTAAGCCATTTTCCATTCCCGTCTAACAGAATGGAGCTCTTCAGTTGGTTGACCGATCCAAGAACATGTTCAAATTGGCCCAGGGCGAGTATATAGCGGCGGAAAAACTGGAAAGCGTTTACAGTTTTTGTCCTTTCGTGAATAACATCATGGTAGACGGTGATTCGTTCCACTCTTACGCATTGGCTATCGTATGTCCTGATGTGAAAGCATTGCGCAAGGAACTAATCAAAGGCTTCAAATCATCCGATGAACCAAGCCGCTACCAGGAGGAAGAAATGTCCGATTCGGATTTGTGTTATGACAAAGAAGCGCGAAAGTTCATCCTGATCAAAATGAACAAAGTGGGGAAGGAACGTGGTTTGAAAGGTTTTGAACTAGTGAGTGAACTTTTCCCTGAGGACCGAACCCAATTTTTTCTTGAATTCTTACTTGCAAATACCTATATCGTTCCGACCTTCGGTATTAGCTTTTATCAGCTGGTTGACTTACCCTGGCAACTGGGCCCCCTTGGACTGTTCAGATTCCATCAGTCACCGTTGATTAGTTGACGTGTAACAACATTATGATTGAAATTTATGCAACAACTCGGGCGCTAAAACCACCAAGATGTCTTTTTAGGTTGTAAACAGAGACACGTGCACGTGAACCGGTGCTTTGTAGCCATCACACCCCAGATCTTCGTTCGTGTAGTCTGCATTGGACTAGGCAGCTGTTACCCAGTTGATTCCGTGGCAGTCTCAAACCCGTCGACCCTATGGAGCTTACACCCTTGTCACTGGGCCACTTAGCGATGCTCTGTTGACGCCTTCGCTAGGCTCTTCAAGCCCGGGGTTTGTGAGCTCAGCTCAGCAACTCGGATGCACCTACGGGTGTGGGCCACATTGTGTGAACTAACTACCAACGCTGTAGGAATGACTTTCGAATGACGTGAGTACATGACACCCAAGTTGGTAGCGTAACCAACACACCATAAATCCGTGGTCAGACCAGCAGTGGTGGTGAAATACTTTACTACTGTTTACTCACTGTTTAATCCAGCCTGCTCGAAATAACTCAATATGCAGCATCCACATAACTAATACCGAACCTCAAGTAACCGGAACGTAAATAAAAGTTGACGGTTTGTGCTGTCATTACTACTGAATGCAGGCTTGACGAAGCCAAAAATATGCCCAAAAACAGTTGTGGTTGTACGTTTTCAGTGAACCTATTGAACCGATTATTTGCGCTGGTTTGGGTTGTCCACAGATCCTAGTCTAAGCCTTCTTCTATGCTTTAACTTTCCGCTGTAAATCCAAAACGAAGCTAGCATTCTACTTGTGGTTACAAAGTCCGGTATCGGTTTTCTTGAAATTGCTTTCGGGCTAAAAACAAGATTCAAGCTTGCGAAAACAGTTCCTTTCATTCCAACCTCTTTGCAATGGAGAACATTGCGTTAGGCGTGTTCTCCTGAAATCCATTGACTCTTGTCCTCAGTTGCTTGATTCGTTGTGCGGGCCTTGTATGTGGCCCATTGGTAACTCGTTTTCATTACTTTCTGTGTTAATCACTATGGGTGAATCAGGGTTTTCCAAGTCAGGCTGTGATTTAAAGAAAAAACAAGGAGCTCTATTCAAATAGCGTCTTAGCACTGTTCCTGACGTTAGTTTAATCAGAACTCATCCCCAGAGAATAAAAAGTTTGATGGTTATGAGGTGACATCATTCATGTAAGAAAGCTCTAGAGAGCATGAAGTCTTAATACCCTCTATCCACGCTTTGTTTTTATCAATTCCTAGACATTCCTTTTTCTGAACTGCAAAACCTGTGCGTACGCATTCACACTTAGCCCAACTCATCGATTGTTTGAGCTGACGTGGACGTGTGTGGGTTAGGGTATGAGGGCTAGCTTGAGTTTGTCACACTATCAACTGCATGGCTTTGTACGAACTAGCATTTTGGACACTCAGGTGAAAATGATTTATTAACGCTTACCTTGGCTTTTTGATGCCCCAGCTGGAGCTACTAGGGTAGTACATGCTCGTGATCAGCTTAATCTTTTGGAGTCACGTTCTGAAATGGTGAACAAAAAGCAGTGCACTCACACTAATCGTGTTTGATTGATTGGACTGGAAAGTGCATTCGCAAGATGGCTTCCTGATTTACCCTATGACACCGTGAGTGTCCCCCGAAGTTAATCTTCGGTAAGCTAGTTGGAAAGTTTGATAAACAGAAACACTTCAGCAGCTGTTAGTGATGTTGTAACCATTGAGCTGAAGCTTAGCACACAGACCAATTTTGATGTTAGGGGGGGCGTTTGTATTCATTTGCTTGTAAAGCCTTAACACAAGGACCTTTGGGTCGGCAATTGACCAAAACTAACTTCCCGCCACTAACACTATCGGGGAACTCTTTACAACATAACAAATTTCGTCTACTCCAATATTAATCCTAATTCTGTTGGTATACCACAAAAGAGGATATACTTCGATATCTCGATTATCTTGCCGACTGGAAACTGAGGAGGTCTTTGGAAAGCACATCCAGTTGAAGGATACCATGAGCGAGAGATTCCACTGAGTCTCTAGTTGCCATTCACATAATTTACCAGCTGATGCTTATCCCTCTTCTTTGTTCTGTTCTATTTAGGTAAAGTCGATCCATCTCACACTGCAACCGTTCACTGTTGAAAACGGCTTACTGACACCCACGCTCAAACTTGCCCGTTATCGAGCACGATTGATGTACAAGGACATGATCCAACGATTGTACGAAGAAGGCGAATTGGTGCATTAGTAGCCCGCCTAGCCCTCCTTTTGTAGACAAACCAGCAACTATGGTTTCGTTTCTGGTTATGTTTTTTTTCTCGGGGATCCCACCCATTTACCCATTCCCGCCGGGTAAATGTGTTGTTTTGAAGTTGAAAATTTTCCTCTGTGTTGTTACTTTTTTCACTCTTTCTTCCCCTCTATCTATCCCACGCGAACTATTTGAAACTGGTGATCTACTGCTGGAGTTCCCATTGCACAACTTTCGCGCCATCGTTTGAACCCTGTGTTTCCACCCTTTCATCTCGTCACTGCCCTTTCGAATCCCTGTCTCCCCTTTATACACCCGTTTTTTCGACTTTCAAACAGCATTGATCTTCATTTACCGTTGGTTTTTAAAGCCAATAAAGATTACGGTTTAGAGATGTAATTCGTTTCTCAGAAAAAACTTTCTGGTGGTAACTAAACACGTTTTCAGCCCATCGCACCTCTAAAGCGACCAAAAAGACGCATTCCAGTGGAACATAAGGTTGACGGAAATTCAGTGACTTCACCTACCTGATGAGCCCCAAAAGGGCGGAACCGGTCGTGGACTTTCGAAGAGTTTTCAGCAACCTTATGAGTAGTTTCATTTCTGTTATATGTGCTGATTCGCCAATCTGTTGTATCTGACTGCTGACCAGCTCCAGTGCCTAGTGCCGGAAAATGACTCACAGAAGGGAACACGACAGCTGTATTCCGAATAAGCGAGTGCGTGTGAGTGCAAAAATCCAACGGCCTCGAGCCATTTATTAGAAGGACAATGTCTGAACTTGGTTTAATGCTGACGCAAACGGTCTGGCTTTGATACAAGGCTCTGAAGCGCCGCATATTGAGGGGCGTTGTCTGTCTGGTCAGCATTTAGCGGAGCTGAGTCTCAGTGGACTTCGGGCATTCAGTGGTCGCTTTCAGCAATCTGACCTTCCTGATCGAAAGTATACTTTGAAATCTCGAATATCGTACCAACTCAAAAGTGAGGCGGCCTTTGCGCAGCAAATTCAGTTGAAAAATATCATAAACGAAAGATTCACTCGAGTCTCTTGTGTAAAACAAATTGATTTGCAAACGAGTGTATTTGTCGCATTCCCTTAAGTTTCACGACTTCGGACGCCTCCGCAATTTCCAATCGGTGATTGAGTAGCATCACATAGCGTCATTTTGAAGAAAGTATTCATGTTACACAAATGAAGGCGTCCCATATTGATATGGTATATTTTTCGAACACCGTATATGTGAGTACGCTAATTTACCAAATAGAATATATTCTAACACACTCATCCAAACACTTCGTGATACTGAAAAGAAAAGTTTGTCACAACACATCAGTTGTACGCAGCTGTCTCGTCATATATTAACCACAGCAAAAGTACAAAATATATTGTACAGAAGAGCAATCATTCTAAGCACGCAATGGATAGCGCCCGGCTCTTGTGGTCTTCATTCCAACCAGGTGTTTTACCATCCGGTGCTCTGTGTATGGAGTCATGTGGAGTGATGTGGTGAAACTGTGCGAAATGCCATCTGGGCTAGTCGGGACTATGCACAGAAGTCAGCACATTTCAGTCTTCTCGAAGTCCACTATCAACTACCGAAAGACGACGTTCCTCTAGGTTCCACTAGGTTTTTTTTACAGAAATTTTACGCTCAAATTCTTCAATGCGCCCGCGGTTCAATTTCGTCTTGCTTGGAAACACCGGCATTGTGTTTCAGTTTCCTCTGGCTAGAACTTTCTCAGCATCTGTATGACAATCTGCTAGACGCCAGAGTAACAAGCTCGATAATTGGGCAGCACAGTTCCGTGCGCTGCAATTTTGGAAAATCATATTGATTACTTGCTCTTCATACAGATAAAAACGATTGTATGTCTCCTGGAATATCCAACCAAGTATCATGAAGTCTGATCCACCTGAGGACAAAACAAGTGGTTGTAAACCAGGAATCGATTGTCCTAATTTTTCGGCTACTTCAAAGGCGTTTTTTGGTGGCTTGAGCCCCTCAATATTGTTTTTTGTACATGGACACAATTACACGTAATTTCAAGTAGACGTTTATTTGAAATTAACCTGATGTTGACTGAACCGACGGTTCAGATGGGTCGTCCGTTAACTTCAGATGAGTATCCGTCTGCATCTACGGACACTCACGTACAAAGTAAGGTTGATCGGAACCTGAGAGCTTATCCGAACTAGTGAATCTTGAAAGGGACCAAGCTGATGATGGGTTCCTCAAGGCTTGTGATCAGTTGTAATCGAGGAAAATACACCGATATTTTGAACGCTGTCTGAACTGGAATGTGACAGTCGCTGTACTTCTCATCAAGATGAAATTGAGTTCATCGACAGTCGCTTTTCGTCATCCTCATGTACATCTTGCATGACGTTTGCACGTGCACACCGATCGAGTAATGCGTTGTGCGCGAGTGTGAGCGTCTATTCAAGTAAATATTAACTTGATTGAAATACTTCATAAAAAATTTGTCGCCCATACCGGGAACGGCGACTGCTAAGCAGCGTATCGCTTATTTGTCATATGAAAGATAATGATCAGTAAATAAGTGAACTCGAAGAAGATCCATTTCAACTGCGCCTTAGGAACGAATTGTTTTACTAACCAGCCAAATGAATGAATACATTCTGTGGTGATAGGTAACAAATGTGTATAAACTATAGCGAAACAAGCTAACAAAATTCCCCTTGAAATTCCAGTCCATGAATTCTGAGGACAGGTAGATATTATTGAAGTTATATCACTAATCACTGATAAAGAAAAAAACATTCGGTACTCCTAATACCGTCCCGACTGAGTCCTTAAATAGTCCTTCCAGTGCGCATTTGTTTGAGGAATGCCACAAACAATAGTTTAATTGGAGCCTCAGTTTAATCCCCCATGAGCACATGGCGATTTAACTCAGCGGCATTAGCGCGATAACAGGGGGAAAGTTTATGCACTTTTCCTAAGCAAACTGTCAGGTAAAACGAAAAGCAAAGTTAGGATGATAATTTTGAGTGCATCTACATTTCCCGTTGACACACTCGGCTAGTGATTCAACAAAACTGGACCTAGTGTTCAGTAGGTTACAAACAATACCATTTTCTCTATCCAGGCGAATTAATAAGATATGAAAATTAGCCCAAATGAACGAATTTCGTACCCCAGTTTTTTATGCGCAACACCAAATCAAATGCTTCATGAATGCACGTAGTCAAACTGATACCGTTTCACGACTAGTTACACTCAAGGGATGAAGACGCCATTCAGATTCTCACTCGTGAGTACCGTCGTCTGATGACGCCAGTAGTCATATGACATAGCTGCCGGTGATGTGTACGGTACTCAGAGTAGACGTACAGACAAGCTAAGAGGGCTAATGCTCACCAATAAACCCAGAAATAGCAACGAACAATACGGAGATGGATACCACAAGTCTACCGAATTACCAATGAGTATAAAAGTTGTTTGTTCCTACTTGATCGAATTCTAGGCATCAATTCTACATTTTCGGTCAGTGGTAACACCAGCATTGGTGCGCGCACACCGCATTAAATTGCGCGCTGTTTGCGTAATAAGTGATGGTGGCACAGTTCGAGGGCTTCACCTCTGTCTTTCTGGCTGGTAGCCACAACCGCAAATAATATGACCATCAATGTTTACTTCAAAATTTTCCGACTACTTGTTTGTATATCTGGGGAGCAGGCGGGTGTACCAAATATGAGGACACGTCCAATCGTTCTGGGACGTCGAAAATTTTGCCATCAAATGAGTTAACATCACTTCTACCACAGGAATAATTGTCTGACAGGTAGGAACGATCATTTCCAGATGCTCCGTTCTTTCGAATGGTTACCTGATTGGTCTTTGTTTTGTGCAACATACCGTCGCAGTGGGGGCGATCTGTGGTACACCATCGCGCCTGAAGAGTGGCGTTCAGAGCAGCTCGACAGGTTGTAGACTTCGGTATAATTAGACGTACAGGCACAGAGTCGAAGAAGATCAGGCACAACCACCAGCCCACCGCTACGCACTACTACGCTCCACAATAACTCACTGATGATGTTGCCTCAATTGGTGATGAAACGTTTGCAATCAAATTGCCCAGCACAGCGAACAAGCCAACTACCAAGATCAGGTAAATTATAAGGGAACCAGTGTTTTACAACATACCTGAGCACTCGAATGCGTTCCTCATCCACGGCTCGCTCCAAATAGTTGAGCACCAAGCTCCAGAATAACATCCATGAGCTTCGTGTGACCAAATGACCAAGTTTCTTTTCGTGAAGAATGTTCTCCTCGTCTGCGACTTGTTAGGTTTGTGCTCCTAGAAATCGTCCAGCTTTCGTTGTACTGGTAAGCTGAATGTTTGAGCTGCGTACGAACCTGATGCAGCGTTTCATCTGGCTCCAGTAATCCGCTGGAAATCTATTCAGACAGCCAGTGATGTCGAATAAACACATTGTTTTCAAGTCCACCAGAAACCCCTCATAACAGGCTGGTTCCGGCGGAACTTGTGATGCATGCTCAGCTGTAGTTGATCAACATTTGCCATGTAATATCGAACCAAATACTGATCTTTTTGAGCTCTCCAGCGAAACTTAACTCTCAAACCTAACCAGTTTTTCTGAAGTACACCAAACGTACACTACGGCCAACCGGCAACATTGAGATATCTTTACTTATACACATCTCAGTTTCATGGTCAAAAGATGCAAAATGCATTTACTGTGAGCAATGGCTTTAAAAGCCAGTCTGATACCTTGGTCCCCTGTGACTGCTGGGTAGGTCAGACCTGTTAGTGCTCTAGTTGTGACGTAATTAGGTTGATTATCAGAAGGTAACAAGCACTAACAATTGTCTGTCTTATTAGAATGTGATGAATACAGTAGTAAGGTGCGCTTGATGAAAATAGATACAATGCAAAAAGTGGAATAAGCCAAAAAGTGGTTCGTTGTTTGAGGACACTTGTTGAGAGTTCCTGAGTGAAGTTCCGGACGCGGGACGTGTCTTCTCTGCAGTATAGCTGCTACACGTGTTCCGTAGTTGGCCGTGAAGACTTGCGGAGCTCTGTTGACTTCCTGTCCTGTGCACGCGAGTGTGTGGTGAGCCTTGTTGTATGCTTATTTATTGTGTGCATTGTGAATAGACGGTTATCCCTTCGTGTTTGATACTTGCACGAACATGAATACAACTTGACCTGAAGTGTTGAATGAAGTTCATAATCCTGGCGTGTGACGAATGTGGTAGCCACTTAAACGAAATGATTGAGCAGTTTTACCGTACATGTTGTCGGCTAAGGTTGCAAGTGAAACAGGGAATGTCACGTGGTTTGAGTATTTGTGACGCGTGATCTGACGAGTGACCTCCACAAATACTCTCCCTTTAGCGAAGGAAA